GAGCCAATTTTGGTCCCTATCGCCCCTGCTCCAAATTTGTCTTTCATTTGAATAAATTTGGTAGTCATTCATATCTGCATGTTCTTTGCCATATATCATCAACCTTGGCCTTTTGGTTATTCAGAAGAAGCTGTTTTAACATATTTGACCCCTGTTACCTTGAATATAAGTCAAGGTCATTCATTTGAACTTGGTCAGCTTTCATCCAAGCATGGCCAAATATCAACATTCTGTGACTTTTGGTTATTCATCAAAAGTTGTTTAAAGGTTTGAACATATTTGACCCATGTGACCTTGAATATAAATTAAAGGTCATTTAATTGAACAAACTTTGTAGCCCTTCATTCCATCATGTTACGACCATGTTACGCCTTTTGGTTATTTCGAAATCTTTCAAAAGTTTCAAACATGTTTGACCCCTGTGACCTTAAATATCAGTCAAGGTCATTCATTTGAACAAACTTAGTAGCCCTTTATCCCAGCATGTTACTGGACAATTATCATTATCCTAGGCCTTTTGGTTATTCAGAAGAATTTGTTTAAGGGTTTTAAACATATTTGAACCCCTGTGACCTTGAATATTAATAAAGAGCTAATAGAGAATGTTTGTGATGTAAGGTGTGCAAGGGTGTAAGTGTGTGGAATGTACACATAATTCACATAATCCTTGGTGTTGATGCTCCATCTCTTAGCTATTTGTTTATGTTTTTGTATCTATGAATATAGGTTTATATTGGTAGGTACTTTCGTATTTGTACATTTTTATTTCCCCAGACAGCAATCCCAAATCAAGAAAGCAGGATTTTGGCATATAAATGAATTTATAAATATGAATGTACATGTACTGCCAATCTTTGAATATGAATAGAAAGAATGGTTTGGGTAATTTAGTATATCATTTTGATCAAATTAAATATTATTATTATTGTAATGAATAAGAATAAACGAATGAATTATTCGGAGTTTGAAAGAAGAAATGAAAAAGAAAGAGAGAATGAAGGGAAAGAGACCTCCTGTGTGAGGTTACATAATGTAAGAGGAGTGAGCCCGGGGCACCCCAACCCTGGCATCCCTCCCAAAAGATGCTGGGGGAATAAATTCCAATTTGAACCAAAAAAAACAAAAAAACAAGAGATCCCAGAGGGATCTTGGCGCCCACCACTGTACAATCTTCATTAGTTCTTTGTCAGTTCGATCTTTTCTCTTCTTTCCTCTAATCTGTTTGATCGAGTCATGTTAACAGTAAATGCACCTTGAGGTAACTTTTGATCTAAACTTAATACTGATGTGCATTAAAGCCAACCTTCAAAGTGAGTTTGTCGTTTCACATATTTACTAGCACAGTACTTAATGTGAAAGAAATAGAATCAATCATTGCAATATGAGAAAGATCTGTTTAGTTCTTCCTTAATTTAGTCATTTTGTTTTTATGATTAGTCTCAAAATATAACATGCACAACAAGGGATCAAGGGGAACCTACATATCAAATTTGATCCTGCAAGTTATTCCTGAGAAATAGTACTAACTAACCTTCAATGTCAAAAATCATAGATGGCTATCGGTAGGCTATTTTTTTTAACTGATCAGTTTTAAAAGTAAACATGAACATTAAAGGATAGTGGGAAACCTGCATTGGCTGGCCCCCAATTTTTTTGGGGGGTGAGTAAAAAATTTGAAGCACTGGCCAAAATGACATATTGGTGGCTCAAATAATTTTGGGAAGAAATATTTCCATAGCATTTAACACAATGTTTCAGCACATTTAAGTTACAATTAACATGACAATGTTTGTAATATGTAAAACAGAATAAAACATTATATTTTTATTTCTTCAACCCTAGTTAAAACCTGACATGATCCACTCCATTCAGGTCTTCCCAAAAAGAAATACACAAAACATGCACCTCTTAGAAGACACATGTTTGAAATAATTTGTATGAAGTAAAGATATAGCACTCCATGGTAGGTGCTGTAAGTACATATGAAATTTCAGAAAGATCCAACCAGTACTTGAGATATAGCGAGAACAAATTTCAAAAAAGAGCCCCACCCCTATGCCCCTAGGGGGGGTCATACCCACCGTTTATACAAAATTGAGTCCCCTTGGCCAAAGGAGGCTCCAGACTAAATAAGGATAAAATCCCTTAATCCGGATTGGCAAAGAATTTGCTATATTTCCCCTATTGGGCCCCACCCCTCAGGCCCCTGGGGGGCCAGACCCACGGTTTATACAAAATTGGTTTCCCTTCACCCAAGAATGCTTCAGACCAAATATGGACCAAATCCTTTCATTCCTACAGAAGAAAAAGGATTTTAAAGAATTTGCTATGTTTCTCCTATTGGATCCCGCCCCTCAGCCCCCAGGGGGGCCAGACCCACGGTTTATACAAAATGTGTTTCCCTTCCCCCAAGGATGCCCCTGACCATATATGGACCAAACCCTTTCATTCCTAGAGAAGAGGAAGGATTTTAAAGAATTTGCTATATTTCCCCTATTTGGCCCCACCCCAGACACATCATTGATACAAAATTGAGTCACCTTGGCCTAAGGATGCTCCAGACCAAATTTAGTCCAAATTTACTGGGCCATTCAGGACAAGTAGCGTTTTAAAGGAAAAATTGACGGACAGACGGACGGACGGACGGCAGACGCTGCGCCATTGCATAAGCTCACCTGCCCTTCGCAGACATTTCGATTCAAATCGAAGTAATGACAACTGAAAAATGTACTGCCTCCGAGTTAATGTGGAAGGGACTATAATTTCTTTTATTCATTAATTTTTCGACAGTCGCCAAAACTATTTTTGTTGGGCCAGAGACTACCTCACTTTTGACAGCTTTTGGTCGCTCGAGCAAGACTTTAACCGCCATTGGCGAGGAGGTGACCGTCCATTTCAGGCACTGATGCAACAACAGGGGAACCTAAATATAAAATTTGATAAAGATCCCTCTGGTACTTCCCAAGAAATAGCGATAACAAACTTTCACTATCAAAATCAAAGATGACTGCCTGTCGGCCATGTTGTTTATCAGATCAATCTCAAAAATTGCACTGCACAGCTTAAGGGACCAAGGGAAACCTACATATCAAATTTAAGAAAGATCCCTTTGGTGCTTCCCGAGAAATAACAATAACAAACTTTCACTATAAAAATCCAAGATGGCTGCCTGTTGGCCATGATGTTTATCCTATCAGTCTCAAAAGTTGCTCTGCACAGCTAGAGACCAAGGGGATCGTACATATATAATTTGAGAAAGATCACTCTGGTACTTCCAGAGAAATAGCGTTAACAAACTTTCACTATCAAAATCAAAGATGACTTCCTGTCCGCCATGTTGTTTATCAGATCAATCCCAAAAATTGCACTGCACAGCTACTGACCAAGGGAAACCTACATATCAAATTTAAGAAAGATCCCTCTGGTACTTCCCGAGAAATAACGATAACAAACTTTCACTATAAAAATCCAAGATGGCTGCCTGTTGGCCATGTTGTTTATCCGATCAGTCTCAAAAGTTGCCCTGCACAGCTAGAGACCAAGGGGATCGTACATATCAAATTTCAGAAAGATCGCTCTGGTACTTCCCAAGAAATAGCGATAACAAAATTTCTCTATCAAAATCCAAGATGGCTGCCTGTCAGCCATGTTGTTTATCCAATTAGTCAGCTGCACAGCAAAGGACCAAGGGGAACCTACATATATAAAATGAGAAAGATTCCTCAGGTACTTCTCGAGAAATAGCGATTACAAACTTTCACTATCAAAATCCAAGATGGCTGCCTGTCGCCCATGTTGTTTACCCAGTCAGTCTCAAAAGTTGCCCTGCACAGTTCAGGACCAAGGGGATCGTACATATATAATTTGAGAAAGATCACTCTGGTACATCTGGAGAAATACAGATAAGAAGAATTGTTTAAGGACGGACCACGGATGGACGGACCACGGACCACGGATCAAGGATGCAGGATGATTTGAATAGTCCACCAACAGATGATGGTGGGCTAAAACAAGAGGCCCAATGGGCCTGAATCGGTCACCTGGTATTAATCTCACACTTGTAATCTTAAAAGTGGACTAAAATACAGCTACAGGCAGAATATCAGTGTTTGATTCATAAGAACCTATTAAAAGATTTAAACATATCAGGTCATATCAGGTCATTCATTTTGACAAAATTGGTAGCCCTTCATCCCAGCCTGTTAATAACCAAATATCATCACCCTTGGCCTTTGGCTAATTTAGAAGAAGTCGTTTAAAGGTTTTAAACATATTTGATCCCTGTGACCTTGAATATATGTAAAGGTCATTCATTTGAACAAACTTGATAGCCCTTTATCCTAACATGCTACTGGCCCAATATCATTATCCTAGGCCTCTTGGTTATTCAGAAGAAGTTGTATAAAAGTTTTAAACATATTTGACCCCAGTGACCTTGAATATAAGTAAAGATCATTCATTTGAATAAACTTGGTTGCCCTTTATCCCAGCATGCTACTGGCCAAATATCATCATCCTAAGGCTTTCGGTTATTGAGAAGAAGTTGTTTAAAGGTTTTAAACATATTTGACCCCTGTGACCTTGAAAATAGGTAAAGGTCATTCATTTGAACAAACTTGGTAGCCCTTCATCCTGGCATGTTACTGGCCAAACATCATTTATCCTAGGCTTCTTAGTTATTCAGAAGAAGTTGTTTAAAGATTTTTTTAGACAATTGACCCCTGTGACCTTGAAAATAGACGAAGGTCATTTATTTGAACAAACTTGGTAGCCCTTCATCCTAGTTTGCTTCTAGCCAAATATCATCACCCTAGGCCTTTTGGTTATTAAGAAGAAGTTGTTTAAAGTAAATAATTGACGACGGACGACAGACGTTGGACGACGGACGCTGCACCATGGCATAAGCTCACTTGGCCCTTCGGCCCAGGTGAGCTAAAAATCTCAGTTTAATTTGATTTACTGACAAAATGTCAAAAAACTCCATAAAACAGATTGCATACCACAAACTTCACACCATCTATTCCTGCTTCTCGAAAGCTGCGACAAAATTCTGGGAATCCATTCTAAAAGACAAAAATAATTTTCAGAAACAAAAACACTCAATGGTAACCTTTACATAAACATAAATACAATGTATGCTTGTATAACATGCGGAACAGAATAGATATGATTTAACATTTTCGATGCAAATTTTAACATATCGATCACATGTGATATAACGAATATCAGCAATCACTAGGTGCAAGCTTTGGAGCGTTTCGTTGTGGATTGATATAATAATAATAGTCATCAGCCTAACATCACATACATCTAGTCATTCATGAACCAGAAATACCCAAACATAGTCAAATATGTCAATGAATACAAATTTGAAGTGAAAGGCAGGGAGATGATATTGTTATATGAGTATATCTTTCCTTTTGTGACTCCCCTCATATTTGGACAAGTAAAACCTCTAATAGATACACTACAGTAAGTGGAGAAACTATCTTTGATACAGAGGTGGAGGATTACTGGGAGGATATCATCAATTCAATCTTACAAAATTATGTAAGTAGGAAATCTTGTTGCAAGTGGTAGTCCCGACTAAATAAAATTAATCTATAAACTGTCCATGTCATGAAAAGCCTACCTCATATACATCTGCATCTGCTGGAGCATATCAAGTTTTAATACTATAAAATTGGGAAAATCAGAAAAAAAGTCTTTTCTGGAGATGGTACAACCAGAAATAGCTATACAAAGCATTAAATGTGAAAGCAATGAAACAGTAAGGATATCACACTTATATATCAGTGGCGGAGGATACAGCGAGGATATCACACTTATATATCAGTGGTGGAGGAAACGGTGAGATATCACACTTATATATCAGTGGTTGGGCATACAGTGAGGATATCAGTGGTGGAGGATACAGTGAGGATAACCTACTTATATATCAGTGGTGGAGGATACAGTGAGGATGGAAACGGTGAGATATCACACTTATATATCAGTGGTTTGGCATACAGTGAGGATATCAGTGGTGGAGGATACAGTGAGATATCACACTTAAATATCAGTGGTTGGGCATACAGTGAGGATATCAGTGGTGGAGGATACAGTGAGGATATTTTAGTGTGATATCTCACTGTATCCTCCACCACCGATATCCTCACTGTATCCTCCACCGCTGATATATAAGTGTGATATCCTCACTATATCCTCCACCACTGATATATAAGTGTGATACCCTCACTGTATCCTCCACCACTGATATACTCACTGTATCCTCCACCACTGATATATCAGTGAGATATCACACTTAAATATAAGTGGTTGGGCATACAGTGAGGATATCAGTGGTGCAGGATACAGTGAGGATATCACACTAAAATATCAGTGGTGGAGGCTACAGTGAGGATATCAGTGGTGGAGGATACAGTGAGATATCACACTAAAATATCAGCGGTGGAGGATACAGTGAGGATATCAGTGGTGGAGGATACAGTGAGGATAACCTACTTATATATCAGTGGTGGAGGATACAGTGAGAATATCACACTTATATATCAGTGGCGGAGGATACAGTGAGGATATCACACTTATATATCAGTGGTGAAGAATACAGTGAGGATATCAGTGGTGGAGGATACAGTGAGGATATCACACTTATATATCAATGGTGGAAGATACAGCGAGGACATCACACTAATATATCAGTGGTGGAGGATACAGTGAGGATATCAGTGGTGGAGGATACAGTGAGGATATCAGTGTAGGAGGATACATTGAGGATATCAGTGGTGGAGGATACAGTGAGGATATCACACTTATATATCAGCGGTGGAGGATACAGTTAAGATATCACACTAATATATCAGTGGTGGAGGATACAGTGAGGATATCACACTTATATATCAGTGGTTGAGGATACAGTGAGGATATCAGTGGTGGGGGATACAGTGAGGATATCAGTGAAGGAGGATACAGTGAGGATATCAGTGATGATATTACAATTATATATCAGTGGTGGAGAATACCGTGAGGATATCACACTTATATGCATCAGTGGTGGAAGATACAGTGAGGATATTTAACTTATATACCAGTGGTGGAGGATACAGTGAGGATATAACACTTATATATCAGTGGTGGAGGATACAGTTAAGATATCACTCTAGTATATCAGTGGTGGAGGATCCAGTGAGGATATCAGTGTAGGAGGATATATTGAGGATATCAGTGGTGGAGGATACAGTATATTACAATTATATATCAGTGGTGGAGAATACCGTGAGGATATCACACTTATATGCATGATACAGTGAGGATATCAGCGAATGAGGATACAGTGAGGATATCAGTGGTGAAGGATACAGTGAGGATATCAGTGGTAGAGGATACAGTGAGGATATCAGTGGTGAAGGATACAGTGAGGATATCAGTGGTGGAGAATACAGCTAGGACATCACACTTATATATCAGTGGCAGAGGATACATAGAGGATATTACACTTAAATATCAGTGGTGGAAGATACAGTGATGATATCACACTTATATATCAGTGGTGGAGGTGGTGGAGGATACAGTGAGGATATTTAACTTATATATCAGTGGTGGAGGATACAGTTAAGATATCACTCTAGTATATCAGTGGTGGAGGATCCAGTGAGGATATCACACTTATATATCAGCGGTGGAGTATACAGTTAAGATATCACACTAATATATCAGTGGTGGAGGATACAGTGGGGATATCACACTTATATATCAGCGGTGGAGGATACAGTGAGGATATCAGTTGGGCATACAGTGAGGATATCAGTGGTGGAGGATACATTGAGGATATCAGTGGTGGAGGATACAGGGAGGATATCACACTTATATATCAGTGGTGGAGGACACAGTGAGGATATCACACTTATATATCAGCGGTGGAGGATACAGTTAAGATATCCCACTAATATATCAGTGGTGGAGGATACAGTGGGGATATCACACTTATATATCAGCGGTGGAGGATCCAGTGAGGATATCAGTGGTGGAGGATACAGTGAGGATATCAGCGAATGAGGATACAGTGAGGATATCAGTGGTGGAGGATACAGTGAGGATATCAGTGAAGGAGGAAACAGTGAGGATATCAGTGGTGGAGGATACAGTGATGATATTACAATTATATATCAGTGGTGGAGGATACAGTGAGGATATCAGTGATGGAGGATACAGTGAGGATATCACACTTAAATATCAGTGGTGGATGATACAGTGAGGATATCAGTGGTGGAGGATACATTGAGGATATCAGTGGTGGAGGATACAGTGAGGATATCACACTAAAATATCAGTGGTGGAGGATACAGTGAGGATATCAGTGGTGGAGGATACATTGAGGATATCAGTGGTGGAAGATACAGTGAGGATATCACACTTATATATCAGTGGTGGAGGATACAGTGAGGATATCACACTAAAATATCAGTGGTGGAGGATACAGTGAGGATATAAAATGTATATATCAGTGGTGGAGGATACAGTGAGATATCACACTAAAATATCAGCGGTGGAGGATACAGTGAGGATATCAGTGAAGGAGGATACAGTGAGGATATCAGTGATGGAGGATACAGTGAGGATATCACATTTATATATCAGTGGTGGAGGATACAATTTGGATATCACGCTTAAATATCAGTGGTGGAGGATACAGTGATGATATTACAATTATATATCAGTGGTGGAGGATACAGTGAGGATATCAGTGGTGGAGAATACAGCTAACTCATCACACTTATATATCAGTGGCAGAGGATACATAGAGGATATTACACTTAAATATCAGTGGTGGAAGATACAGTGAGGATATCACACTTATATATCAGTGGTGGAGGATACAGTGAGGATAACCTACTTATATATCAGTGGTGGAGGATACAATGATGACATTACACTAATATATCAGTGGTGGAGGATACAATTTGGATATCACACTTAAATATCAGTGGTGGAGGATACAGTGAGGATATGACACTTATATATCAGTGGTGGAGGATACAGTAAGGGAGGATACAGTGAGGATATCAGTGGTGGAGGATAGAGTCAGGATATCAGTGGTGGAGGATAGAGTCAGGATATCAGTGGTGAAGGATAGAGTCAGGATATCAGTAGTGGAGAATAGAGTGAGGATATCACACTTATGTGCGTCAGTGGTGGAAGATACAGTGAGGATATCAGTGGTGGAGGATACAGTGAGGATATCACACTTATATATCAGTGGTGGAGGATACAGTGAGGATATCACAATTATATATCAGTGGTGGAGGATACAATGAGGACATCACACTAATATATCAGTGGTGGAGGATACAGTGAGGATATCACACTTATATATCAGTGGTGGAGGATACAGTGAGGATATCAAACTTATATATCAGTGGTGGAGGATACAGTGAGGATATAACACTTATATATCAGTGGTGGAGGATACATAGAGGATATTACACTTAAATATCAGTGGTGGAAGATACAGTGAGGATATCAGTGGTGGAGGATACAGTGAGGATATAACACTTATATATCAGTGGTGGAGGATACATAGAGGATATTAGTGGTGGAGGATACAGTGAGGATATCAGTGGTGGAGGGTGAGGATATCAGTGGTGGAGGATACAGTGAGGATATCAGTGGTGGAGACTGCAGCTAGGACATCACACTTATATATCAGTGGCAGATGATACATAGAGGATATTACACTTAAATATCAGTGGTGGAAGATACAGTGATGATATCACACTTAAATATCAGTGGTGGAGGATACAGTGAGGATATCAGTGGTGGAGGATAAAGTCAGGATATCAGTGATGATATTACAATTATATATCAGTGGTGGAGAATACCGTGAGGATATCACACTTATATGCATCAGTGGTGGAAGATACAGTGAGGATATTTAACTTATATATCAGTGGTGGAGGATACAGTGAGGATATCAGTAATGGAGGATACAGTGAGGATATCAGTGATGATATTACAATTATATATCAGTGGTGGAGGATACAGTGAGGATATCAGTGGTGGAGGATACAGTGAGGCTATCACACTTATATATCAGTGGTGGAGGATACAGTAAGGATATACATAGAGGATATTACACTTAAATATCAGTGGTGGAAGATACAGTGAGGATATTTCAATTATATATCAGTGGTGGAGTATACAGTGAGGATATCAGTGAAGGAGGATACAGTGAATACAGTGATGATATTACAATTATATATCAGTGGTGGAGAATACCGTGAGGATATCACACTTATATGCATCAGTCGTGGAAGATACAGTGAGGATATTTAACTTATATATCAGTGGGGGAGGATACAGTGAGGATATCAGTGAAGGAGATGATATTACAATTATATATCAGTGGTGGAGAATACCGTGAGGATATCACACTTATATGCATCAGTCGTGGAAGATACAGTGAGGATATTTAACTTATATATCAGTGGGGGAGGATACAGTGAGGATATCAGTGAAGGAGATGATATTACAATTATATATCAGTGGTGGAGAATACCGTGAGGATATCACACTTATATGCATCAGTCGTGGAAGATACAGTGAGGATATTTAACTTATATATCCGTGGTGGAGGATACAGTGAGGATATCAGTGGAGGAGGATACAGGGAGGATATCAGTGAAGGAGGATATAGTGAGGATATCAGTGGTGGAGGATACAGTGTTGATATCACACTTATATATCAGTGGTGGAGGATACAGTAAGGATATCAGTGAAGGAGGATACAGTGAGGATATCAGTGAAGGAGGATATAGTGAGGATATCAGTGGTGGAGGATACAGTGAGGCTATCACACTTATATATCAGTGGTGGAGGATACAGTAAGGATATCAGTGAAGGATGAGGATATCAGTGGTGGAGGATACAGTGAGGCTATCACACTTATATATCAGTGGTGGAGGATACAGTAAGGATATCAGTGAAGGAGGATACAGTGAGGCTATCAGTGGTGGAGGATACAGTGAGGATATCACACTTAAATATCAGTGGTGGAAGATCCAGTGAGGATATTACAATTAAATATCAGTGGTGGAGTATACAGTGAGGATATCAGTGGTGGAGGATACCGGGAGGATATCAGTGAAGGAGGATACAGTGAGGATATCAGTGATGGAGGATACAGTGAGGATATCACACTTAAATATCAGTGGTGGAAGATCCAGTGAGGATATTACAATTAAATATCAGTGGTGGAGTATACAGTGAGTGGTGGAGGATACAATGAGGACATCACACTAATATATCAGTGGTGGAAGATACAGTGAGGATATTACAATTAAATATCAGTGGTGGAGGATACAGTAAGGATATCAGTGAAGGAGGATACAGTGAGGATATCAGGGGTGGAGGATACAGTGAGGATATCAGTAATGGAGGATACAGTGAGGATATCAGTGATGATATTACAATTATATATCAGTGGTGGAGAATACCGTGAGGATATCACACTTATATGCATCAGTCGTGGAAGATACAGTGAGGATATTTAACTTATATATCCGTGGTGGAGGATACAGTGAGGATATCAGTGGTGGAGGATACAGTGTGGATATCACACTTATATATCAGTGGTGGAGGATACAATGAGGATATCACACTTATATTTCAGTGCTGCCAAGCTGTGTATATACCAGAGCTGTGTGCTATCAACTCTTTTATATGGTTCGGAATGTTGGCGGATGAGAGAGGAAGACTTGTCGAAATTGCCAACATTTCACACAACCAGACTGAGAAAATTTTTGAAGATTTTCTGGCCAAGAGTAATCTCCAATGATGAACTGCTGAGACAGTGCAACACGGAGAGTTTGAGAGACATCATCAAGAAGAGACGCTGGAGGTGGATTGGACATGTGCTAAGAAAGGAAGGTGACTCCATCACAAAGGTTGCAGTACACTGGACTCCTGAAGGTAAACGGAAGAGAGGTCGCCCAAAAACCATATGGCGACGCACGGTGGAAACAGAGCTCAGTGACATGGATCACAGCTGGGGAACTATCGAGCGTTTAGCAAAAGATCGAAAGGTGTGGAGGAACTTTGTTGCTGCCCTAAACTCCACCGGGCGTAATAGGCAGTAAGTAAGTAATGAATTTAATTTTAGAAATAAATAAGAATAGTGAAATAAAACAAAACCGGTGTAATTTTAATTACATTGCGGGCAATACAACAATATTATTTTTCCATACACATTTAGTCTAGTGTACACATAATCGTCGCCATGTGATGATGTTTTCTTTACTTGATTTCTGTGCAGGTCCGTGTTGTTTTTTGCTAATTTGAGTAGATAATTTTGAGAAGTTTTGATAGTACCGACCAATAAAAATTAATATGCATATTTGAGTAGATAATTTTGAGCAGGTAACTTGTCATAAATAGGGCATTTCTCAATACTGTGTTATAGTTCAACATTACGTATGGATGATTTGTGCATTTTGTGCAACTACGTGTGTTAGACGCAGACAGCATAGTATCGTGACAGGGTGTTTTTTAATTGTTTATATCATGTTAGAAGTTGTATAAGTATTACTATTTTTCATTTTAAACGTTAAAACATGTACAGGTGCATTTTATAAAGAACATCATTACTTAATTAAGGGAATGAAATGAAAATGATAATATGCAGTATATTCCGGATATTAGTATGTCCGTTGTCGGCTTCGGTGATGAATATACAAGTTTGTTCTTCATCTTCCGGCACATAATTATATCTTGATTCAAGAGAAAAATAAGTTTTTTTAACTTTTAACATGATATTTATGACTTAAAGGAAAAAAAAAAAAATTAGGGCGCCGGAAACAACCTAGGGCAAACAGGATTTGGGGCGAAACCCTGTATACCGTATATATACACTGCAATATATATAGCACCAACTGTATGTAGTAACCATCTTGTATTTTACTTTACAATTATTATAAGACACCGTTTGACAGAAGCTTATGTGTACTTACCTAAATATTACGATCTATTACTGTTTTAAAGCTGGAAATTATACACGTACATGTATATTGTTTCTCTCTTGAGTTGCTATCTGTCTGATATGGGTACCTGTCCCCTATACCTGTACTGCACGTTTCCTGTTCCTTCAATGAAGTTCAGCTGGTGTGGTAATTAATTTTATCCCTATTGAAAGATATCTAAGGTGATAAATCTCCTAACTTTGGCCCCTATCAGTTGACCTAAGGTAAAGAAATAAGGGGACAGTCTGCTTGGACAGATGGGATAATTAGTACATGCAGCAGACGATACATGATAAACATTACCGCTGAAAGCCATTGCCCCACATCGTTTATGGTCCATCGGACGAGTCCAGAGTACTCGGGAAGAGTTCCACTCATGATCAATGTCGTCAACTGGGCAGCAAGTCCACCATTCAAGCTGTCACTCGGGATGTATGTGTATATTACTTCCTTGTAATGTACGAGCTTCCGTGTTAAGTTTAAAACTCCGGCACTTCTCTGCGCTCCTATCCGGAACCGTTCTGCGTTTATCCTTGATATGTACGGTGATGTGAGAAGGGGTGTAACGAATCATGATCACGGTACAAAAGATCGATATAGCTAGGACGGACGTCTTTTGTTTGGGTTAGTCAATTTACGCATACATGCACAGTACATGACGGAGTTTTTCACTGGTCCAAATGAAATATGAATAATTTGGCCGACTTTTTTGGTGATCTATTAGTATTCATGATGAACACGGAATGCGACATATGCAGTCTATAAGCCCGAACTATCTCCTTTTACTTGTTATTTTTCGATATGAATTTAAGACCCATCAAAATAGTTTAAAACTGAGAGAGTTATTTCCAGGGGCGGATGTAGGGGTGTTGCCCTGCCCGGACACAATGGCCCTGGCTGGGCAACATCCTTTTTTCTGTGTCCAAAATTAATCTAACCCAAACATGTTTGAATATTTTCCTCCATCTCTTGTGAATTTCTTTTTAAAAAGTTGAACCAGGTTTTCTATGGATTCCCCTAGCCATCAATTTCAATATATGTAAGCCTGAGGGTGTTGTCCAAACACCACTGATTTCACTTCCCTAAACAAGTAAAGGTTATTGCATGGTTTTCGAGTAACAAGGGATTTATTACACCCGAGCGAAGCGAGGGTGTAATAAGTCTCGAGTGATGAGAAATCATGCAATAACTGACTTACTGCATGCTTTCCAACTCGAACAAAACAGAAAACTTGAGTAAAAAATATTCACCTGGACAATCTTTTTACCTACCCTACACTGCAGATAATTTACATGTACCTGTGTGAGTGAGTACCAGAACCAGGGACGTATAGTGAATCTCTATATACTGTCCCTGCCAGAACCAGTCTGAGTGTATCCTTCATAATGGATACAAGTGTTTTCGGATTACTATCCAGCTCCAGTGTCAGGGAAGGTAAGGAGTGGCTGTTCAACAATTAGAGCAATATACGGGAAACAATATTGAATTTCTGACTACATTTTCAGTTTAATTTTCAAGATGTGGCAAAGTTACAGGATATTGAAACCATTTTCATACATACAATGTAAGGGTTAATCAATCCCTAAGGAATTCCATTTCTTTCAATGAATGGTATATTTGAATGTGCAATTTTGTATAAAAAAACAGCTCCTAAAGATTATAAACTTTTCCATGAAATGCTTATCCTCTCACGTGATAAGGAAATCAATTACGCTGCCAACTCGGTAATTTTGTTTGTTTGTTTTTCAATCATGAAATTACCATTTTTAACTTTATTTATTATTATTTTTCTTATTTTAAATGTGTCGATCAAGTTTATCCTTTCCACTGTATTGACTTCATCATTGCTTACTTATTGATTATCTCCCCTTTCTTACAGCATTTGTGACCACAGTCCACTGGGCACACCCCCTTTCATGGGCATGTAATCATGATTGGCCATGAAAGGGGATTATGTGTGCAGTGGACTGTGGTAGCAAGTGATTTATTACTCACACTTTTCCATTGTGAGGGGTGGGAAGTATGCAGTAATAGGGGATTAACCCCTCTGTTATCAATGTCAGCATGTGTCTGGTCAGATCAATTATCACCTTGTCTTTGTTTTACCTTACCATAATTGGGTATCCATGCACTACCTGTATTTATGGCACGCCATCCTGAAAAAAATACATAAACTACTTAAGGGCAAATATGTAAAGGTTATTGCATGGTTTTCGAGTAACAAGGGATTTATTACACCCGAGCGAAGCGAGGGTGTAATAAGTCCCGAGTGACGAGAAATCATGCAATAACTGGCTTACTGCATGCTTCCCAACTCGAACAAAACAGAAAAGTTGAGTAAAAAATGTTCACCTGGACAATCTTTTTACCTACCCTACACTGCAGATAATTTACATGTACCTATGTGAGTGAGTACTAATCATAACCAGGTAAGATTCTCAATAGCCCAGTCTGAGTGTATCCTTCATAATGGATACAAGTGTTTTTGGATTACTATCCAGGTCCAGTGTCAGGGAAGGTAAGGAGTGTCTGTTCAAAATACGGGAAACAATGTTGAATTTCTGACTACATTTTCAGTTTAATTTTCAAGATGTGGCAAAGGTACAGGATATTGAAACCATTTTCATATATACAATGTAAGGGTTTATTAATCCCTAAGGAATTCCAGTTAATTCAATGAATGGTATATTTGAATGTGCAATTTTGTATAAAGGAACAGCTCCTTAAGATTATAAACTTTTCCGGGAAATGCTTATCCTCTCACGTGATAAGGAAATCTTTTTGTGTTTTTCAATCATGAAATTACCATTTTTAACTTTCATTTTTTCCCCCTTATTTTAAATGTGTCAACTAAGTTTATCCTTTCCACTGTATTGACTTCATCGTTACTCACTGATTGATTATCTCCCCTTTCTTACAGCATTTGTGGCCACAGTCCACTGGGCACACCCCCTTTCATGGTCATGTAATCATGATTGGCCTTGAAAGGGGATTATGTGTGCAGTGGACTGTGGTAGCAAGTGATTTATTGCCCACACTTTTCCATTGTGAGAGGTGGGAAGTATGCAGTAATCTTTTTTACATTAACGTACATTTTACCTTAACGTCAAAGGATTTGACCATAAGGGCAAAAAAAAAAATCCACATAAGGTCAAATCTTTTGACCTTAAGTGTAAATAAATCGGCTTAAGTCACATAATGGCAAAAAGAGACGATTACCAATCGTACCCACTACTCAGTCTGTGGTGGACTCTTCCACATTCGGAACAAAATAAATATGAAAAATGAGTCCGGCCAGGGACGTTTACTGTCCCTGGTAAAACTAGCTTTGCGCACAAACTGTTACGTATTTTTCTACCGCAAGTGTAATTAACACCAATATAAAATATTATCAATAAGTTTAGTTGATATATTTAAATATTAATTATTATATTAACGCATATATTTTAAAAGATTGGTATTAGGAAGCACACATTACTATATACTAAAATGGCTGGAATAATCCCGAGTTATAAACTTTTCCGAACGAAACTCGAGTGTTCCGAAGAGCCATTGCGAACTTAAAAAATGTATGTGAAGTTGCCGGGTTTGATTATTCAAATGACCATTAGTTTTGTTGGCCAAAAAGAAAAAGGGTCAGAAATAGTTCTTATTGGTGAGAATCACTGTCATTTGTTAATCTGTTGCACATCATTTTCAACCAGAATGAGACAAATGACAGTAGGGACCCTAGTTTCATGAGGATTTAATATTTGGTGAGGGTACAGTAGTGCAGCTGTAATGATGGCAAACTCGGTAAGAGCGCAGAATTATTGTCATAATCAGTCACCACATACTCAAATATAAAGTGAGATTTTAAAATTCAACTTGATTTATGTCATTTTTCGTACACAGCCTCGTTGAAGAATTCTAGTTTGGTTTGATTTGGGGTGGGGGTGGGGGTTGTTATTTGTTTGATATTATTAATGAGGAAGTATTCGTTTCTTTGACATGTGTCTACCTGTGGTATGCCGTTTATTCCAAGTTTCTGGTTAATAATTTTACAGCAATTTTGAGGTAAAAATTAAGATACAGATAGTTGATGTCAGAAAGCTGAGTTAGTTGATTTAACATTTATCATTCACATCACTTGTCTTGCTTGTTGTAAGCAAATTTGATTGATTTCTACTGATTATCCTGTGTTATAAATTCATGGTTTAAAGTTTGTGCTCATGTATTTTGTGAGTTAACAGGTAAAGGATATGTACAACCACGGACTTAGATAACTAATCTAATTCTGTGGTACAACTGTTCAGTGTTCCTCCAAACCAATCAAATTAGTTAACCTCCCCTCACCCACCCCAAGTAGTTGGTATTGTGACCCATTTTTCAAAGACTCCTATATGTTAATTTAGACCTGGTGGTAAAGAATCTTGCAATCTACCAGATATAATCAAATCTTAAATACACAAAGAATATTTGTAATGAAATACAATTTATTATACCCAGAATATTAACTGCTTATTTTTACATTTGATCTAACTTGACCACTCTAGGTTAACCTAAAGTCCAAGAAAAAATTCACAATAAAATATATTTTACAGGCAATTTTTTATCAAGAATAGTTATACTATGTATGTGTACATATCACTATAGCAAGGTTATTTTATTAGATTAAAATAATCTCTTCATCTTTATTTATGAAAAGTGTCTGGCACTAGATCATAAACTAGGGAACTTGGATATAATTTCAAAAATGAAGAATGTCTTATATTTCAGTTCCTTTTCCAAATAAATTTTATCACACAGGGGAGCATGTGGTAACTGGACTTTTCCCCCAAAGTTTGAAGCAGATTCCAAGAGAAATATTCAGTTTACTAATACACGAGCAAGATACTTTACTCCGCTAGTTCCAGTCTACTCAGCTGTAAATGAGAATGTGATTGGGCAGTGCTAGAAATGTAGAATGCTAGCTGTGAGTGCCGAAATGGCAGCACCGGCTGTATATGCTCCCCAGCGAGTTGAGAAAGATATTGACTGGTTGCAAATATATACAACGGAAGATATTATATATAATAAATGAGCATCACAGTATATATTTATTTTGCTGCACACTTAATAAGCATGTGACATGTCCCTGTAACCCACATCTAATTATAGGTAAGTAGGGGAATTATTATTGGAAGCCAATATCAAGACATCCAACTAGTACAGCACATTAAAACAAGGGCCCCATGGGTTTAACAGGTCACCTGAGTTGTAATACAATTGTTATTTGTTGTTGTGATATGACAAAAACAAATATTACATATGTATAGCAGGGAATTTTGTCCCTCTACAATACTGAAAAGTCTCATTTCCATAAACTATAGCAAAATGTACCCCCTCCCTAGGGTAAATGGGTGACGATTGTTTAAAAAAGTTATATATCAGATATACACCTCATACACCTTCTATAAATCAGGTATATACCTTCTATAAATCAAATATGCATGACATTCTCTACTATCAATAAAAACCTTC